TGCTGTACTTCCTAGAGAGTATAAGACTGGAGCATGAGACATCTTCTCTATGAAAGACTCTTTGTATAGGGGTTGGTAAAAACTGAAGAAAACAGCAGTGTCCTGCTTAGGTGTGCGGCTCAGGAATTTTTATTTGGCTGTGGCTGAAATGTAGTGACAAGGTTTAGTATGGAAGATATTGCTTCCTGACACTTGTCAGTGTAAAAAAGTCTTTGGGAGCCAGGACAAGAAGACAGGATCATCTTACGTCATTTCAGTCTCTGAGGACCTCACAACTGCTCTTTCCACATTTATGGTCTGCTCTTTCCATATCTATGCAATGTCTCTGAAGTGGGGAATTACACCCATTTTAGTCATCACAAAACCCACGTGCAGAGACTGATACCTAGATTCTCAAAGTCACCCAGAAGCATACATCCCACTGTTATAAATGAGAAGGAAATGTGAAAAAAAGACTCTAAATCTTCACCTTAATGAATTGTTGTAGACATAGTGAAAATCCATGCAGATGGTGATATCACACAGTCTTTCACCATGGACCCAGTGCTTTACCAAGTGGGCCACTACCGATTTGTAACTGCATTTTAGCAGGGCTCTGAAACTGTAGATGTGTTAAAGGCAATCAGAATGAGTAATTCTGAGTTGTCCAAGGAGCATTATAATAACGAACTGCTGCTCATCACTTTTTGAAGGTAATTTTTTCAGGGGCCACCCGTGGGATTCTGTGAAACCCTTAGGTGACTCGCTTCTAGCAGCCAGCAGCTGAAATCTCCAAAAGACTCAGCTCTTGAGGATGCCTTTCTTGTACTAGCTGAGACATAAATACAGCTGTATAATATTTGCCTTACCTGAACTGCTGCATTGATACACTGTAGTCTACAGATTCTGACAACTTTTTACCCTTTCCCTCAGTTACTACTAGTGTTGAGCGTTAGACACTTTGACTCAACAAGGCAGAACATCTAAGGTTTTATGTCCTGATGCACAACGGTGACTTCGGATCATACCAATGACTGGAAAGTACCTAACCAAGGGGCATCTCGTTAGACACCAGGCTGTGCATTCAGGAGCTGGATCATCAGCTGGACTCTAGAAGGAGTGAAGGCAGCTTCCCCTCCTATCTCTGGCACCTCAGGCAGGATGAATTTGGACCACAAACCTTGGAAGAACATTTGATCTGTGTGACATGCCTGCCACACACAACCTCTTTCATAATGATGGTATTTAACTACCAGCATACACGGTCATCCATGCAGACACTGAGAAAACACATACATGACCCGTGCATTTTCTTTTTCTCCTGGGGAGAAGTGGATGGGCTGGGAATGAGGTATTAGTTGAGACTCCTTACTCTTGATAGATGTTAGCAGAGTTCTTAATCACTCAAGATGGCCAGAATACTCATTACCTGAGTTGAGAAACCACATCCTTCAACAACAACCTGCTTTCTTGCAGATTGCTTTCTTCTGCGTTTGCAGAATTATAGTAGGGTAACATGGAGTGAGCATTTGGGGCTTGAAAGGAAGAGCCACGTTGCTGTCTGCCGTGACTTTCTTCAATTAAGGCAAAAGAAGCGTATGAGTCCCATAGTCCTTTTTCCTACAGTTAATGGGCTGTGGACAGTAGAATAGTGACTACATGGGAGCAGCAAACAGCCGACTTCATAGAGGACAACTCACAGGCTATAAGTAAAATCTTGAAGTACGCTGACCAGCCACTGAAGATCCACTCTGAACTTTTCTTCCATGCATAGCATATCATACCTGGGCTGAACTCGACTTTTGGGACTGTCATTTGTTAGTGAAAACAGGCAACGAAAGTGCACTTATCATTTCTCTGGGAATTACGAAGGAAGGAGATCATGAAGATCTGGTTTGTCCTGCCCGCTCACAGCAGGTCTGATGTCTCTCTAACACAAAGGTCAAGGCCAAAAGCTTTTTCTCCACCTACAAAGAGGGACACTAAATTTGCATTTCAATACAAAATTTAGAACATTTACTCATCACAAGGAAAATAACTGTCTGATTATATGACAGGGATTACGCATTTAGTGTCTCTGCTTTTCCCCTGTGTATGACACATAAGGCGGTACTGCATTCTCAAGGGAAAACCAGGAAGGAACTAAAGCTGATTTATCTGTGTATTACAATCCCAACACTCAGCAATGAGTTTTTAAAAGGCAACAGTCCCTAGGAAATGAGACCAGCACACAACTTATCTGTCCTAGCACAGTCTACTACTTCTTTCCTGAAGTCTTTGCATGTGTGACCCCCATTCATCAGAAACACCATAAATGAAATAGTTCAGTGTGTTCTTTTGCTGCCATATTTTCTGTGCTCTAGGGGGGGATCAGAAATGCTAAACTTTATTTATTGCTCAGGATCAGGAAGGAAAAGAAATCCTAGTATTGGACACAATATTCAAAGCCATGAGATTTATGAAATTGAGGGCTTTTTGCAACAGTATGACAAATTCTATATTTAAACAGATCACTCCCACCACACAGAAGCAGAAATATAACATGCTTTTTGTTCAGAGATTTACCATGTTTAATTATTCATTTTTTCAGTAGCTTAACCATGTATTCAGATAAATAAAGTAATAAACAAAAGTGTTCAAAGTGAGGCAATATTGTCTTTATGTTATTTTTAAATTGTGATCAGGTATCTGTGGGACATGGAAAACCAAAAATCAAACAAAGTACATAATCTTTGCTTCTCTAATAAAAGTTAGTGCCAAATTCTGCTCTCAGGTAAATTTCTATAAATTTCTTATGTCCATAAGGGCATTACAACACAAGGGCATATTTCTGCATTTAAAAAGTGCAAAAGATCAGAGTTGTTCTCACGTCTTAAAGGCTTAGCACACACCACATGGCGAGCTGGTGTCTGGCTTTTACACATACCACCCCGCTGACCTGGTGCAAGCAGATGCAGCATCACTCAACTCCAATAAGCCGATTTGATTTCACCAGATTGCAATTCGTAATTTGTTTTTTTGACTTCAATTTGCCTGCTTCAACAAATGAGAGCACAATTTGGCTCCTTTCTCAGTGAAAAGGAAGCCAACCAAACACGACTTTCACCAGGCCTCAGCTTTTGGCCCCAGATTTCAACATACACTATTACAGCGATCAAAAGAACCATAGAAATTACTTATCATTTTACTGTTCCTTAACACATTTCACACAGTCCTGCAGCGAGCAGAATCACAGATGAACCTCAGAACATACAGAGAGCACAACTACTACACTGGACATGAAAAGGAAATTTTATTAAACATGTTTACATAACATGAGTTGGAAGTTCATTTAAAAGCACAGGGGAGTGTTAAGACAAGTGGTCAAAATAGAAAGGTACTATCGAATTATAACTAGTTGGTTTTTGGCCACTAAGACAGAACAGGATCTAGTAGTAGTGCACCAATGCTTGAGTTCTTCCTGCTCAGCAGGTCGAGCAGTAACCAATCTGCGCCCTACGGAAAGATGGGCAGAGTAATTCCCACGTGTTGAGTAATAATAAATAGTTCACTTGGTGCAGGCAGTATGTCTATGAATTAAAACCTAGTGTGTACACAGTTTCTACATGTGTTACAGCCCCACAGTAGGAATCTACACCAAAATAGTTATTAGAAGGAATTTGGTCCGTACTACATCACGTTTTCCATAGGGTAAAAAATAAAGTCCATCTATAGACATTTAGCACCAGACTCACAGACCTAGCCTGGCTAAAACCTGCAAAATGTCTATAAGAAAAATGGATGGCTTAGATTTCTTGGTTACTTCAGTATAGTAATTACGAGCAAACTGTACAAGTACATGCAACATACAAGCTGGCCTATGTGGAACTAACATACATTATTAAATAACCTTTTTCATCTCTTTTTACAAAACGTGCATGCAGCTTTGAACAGTTCCAAGTCATGCTGCTCTATTTGTGTGATCACAAAATCGAATGGCCTGTAAAAGGAGGGGAAACATATCAATGCACCTGCAAGAATCTGCAGTTGTTCGCACATTTACAGAATATCACAAGGGATTTCAAGGCCAAGAAGAACTCAGATGAATAAAAAGCAAATTGAAATTTGACTTTTTTTTTCTCCAAAAAGTAAGATATCTTGCGTTAAAAAATCAAGCCTTGTGCTTGCATCAATCTCAAAGAAATGTAAACTAAAATTTGATAAAAACATTAGTAAGTGCAGAATATTTCAACTGGAATTTCCAGTGAAACACTGAACAACTCATACCATGCTCTATCCAGGGCAGACAGGTGCGTCTGAAGCGACACACATCAGAGAAGCCTGGGTACAGCTGAAAGTGTCATATGCTCAATCCATTCCTGGTCAGCATTTTGGGAAGTCAAATATACATTTATACACAGAAACGTAAATATTTCCTCTCCATTTCTAGGAGGAAAACTGCATTACCAGTAACATATTCAATGTCAAAATTAAGACTAAAGCTGCTTCATACCAGTCCCCAGCAGTAGTTGCAGAATTCTTCAAAACTCTTCCATGCAAAACATCATAAACATAAAAGTTATTATATATAATGCAAACATATCTGCTTTTTACAAAGGAAAAGTGGCACCATGATGATTATTTATTTTTAAGAATGTAACTTAGATTGGTCATTTGTTCTGGGTTCCCACGTGAGAGACTTGGAAGTACCAGAACTGAGAAACGGTTTGAACTCGCTGGAATCATAACTGTGGCTGTTGAACACTTTAATGATGCTTACAGAGATATGCTTCAGCCCTTTTTTGTTTGGTTTAGAAAAAGAAAGGAAGGGTCTCTGTCAGCGTTGTGAGGACTTCTACAAAACTAGCAGAATCACTTGGCAAAAAACTAGTGGAAGTGACAAGTACAGAAAAACTGCTGAAACACCAGGAAGGTAACACTGCTTGAGGGCTCTGTCAAAATGTGAAAAATACAACATTGTTAACAGAGTGAGAGCTTCCAGTTTGGCTCATCTTTGACTTAGTTCAAATCTAAAGGTCCCTCTTTCTCTCTCTTTTTTTTTTTTTTGATCATTATAAGCATCAGTGATAGCCGCTAATAGATTGGCCATATGTGATATACCTTTGTTCTGTCAATTTAAGCCATCTCTCGACAAACAGACATATTTTTGAATAACTACTACAAGCAAAAACAGAAGTGATTGTCTCTCTCCAACAGTGTTTTTTGATCGTGTGAATATCTGATTCCAATTGTTATCCTGGGCGACGTTTTTACTAGGCAGCACCTGCTACTATGATCTAACGCAGGGAGGCCCAGCTGAACTTTCCAGAGATGACTGGGAAGCCCTGCGTGTCAGGGGAGTCAAGGTTGGATCCACGAGTGATGAAGGTGGAAATAATTTATACCAGCCTATTACCACACTGGACAGATCCAATTCCTCCAGAAGGATCTGGGCAACTCCCATGAAGCATTTGTGGTCCATTCGGCCGTAGTCTCCCCAAACTATTACCTGGAAGAACATAAAATACAGGTTCAGTATTGTCCCCAAACCCATGCTTATATGTTCAGTCCTGCTGTATTTCGTTATGTCTAGTGTAAGGAAAATGTTATTCTTAAGGGTGAATGATTGCTCCCTCTTGTGGGAAAACCTAATGGCAGGACAGGAGCGAGAGTCCACAAAAGGGAAATGTTTAATACAGCCAGACATTTCGCAGGTCTGAAACCACAAGCCACAAGGACATGTTTGCTGGTATTTATAAAATTAAATGCTTTGTGAGTTGGAATGGGTTTATGCATATTGCTTAAACGTAAGTAAACATGCAAGTGCTTCTCCAAATGACAGCCTAAAATGGGATTTAAGAAGCAACTGACCTGAAGGACTTTACCCTGTGGACTTTCATCAAAAACTAGTGTCTGTTGGTACAAAGGATCAAGGGTCTTCCGTGCAATTCTTGTCTTCTTCTTAGCTATACATGCTCCATTTTCCAATAAATACACTTTGACATATGGAGCTGCAAACAGAACATCATGAATTTTATGTTTGGACTTAAAAACTTCTACATTGCACATCTGAGCTGGAGGACAAATGCCTTAAAAGGAAGCTGAGTGGGAAGAAAATGACACACCTACCTTCACTGTATAATCTGAATACAATTATATTTATAAAATAAATGACACAGCCCATAAGAAATCAATTTGATTTTTACAAACCTTGAATTTAATGATCTAAGATGTTACTAACAACAATTCTGTTTCATGTCTGTCATTTTAAAAACACTTCCCTTTGCCAGGAATTAACTGTCACTGATAGCTACTCTGGAGTCTCTATGTATGTTTAGGGGTCAGAGATATTTCAAAACAAAAGTATTTGATGATTCATTGAAAGGAATATTTAATGCTAAGTCACTCAGATAACACAGACATTAATTGCTCCTTCGTCTTCAGCTCCTAAGGAGGTTGTAAAGTACCATTTTGGCAAAATGTTATCTAAAACAACTGTTCCAGTTGTTATGGTAAGCAGTGGTTGTGGTGGAGATTATACATCTCTTCTAATAAAGATTTCTATAAATAACCAGAACTTCCAAAAATGTCCTTATAAAATGATACAATATTAAATCTCATTCATTATACAAATTATTGACACTGGCACTAGCATAATCTGCTGTCTTGAAGCACTGCTGCGTACAGAAGACCATGGCACGTGGCTCCATTAAGCTGTTTGTTCAGAGCACTTTCATCTGTTCTCCATCTCTTGTTTTGATGTGGAGCGAACACAAAGGACTTCATCTGCATCGACAAAGCCCCTCTGAGATATATGACTTGCCTAAGATACACAGAAATACTTCTGCAAATGTTCCTTCCAGAACGGATGTTGAGTTGCTGAAAATCATTCCTTGAAAGGTGGCGTGCAATTGGCAGATGCAAGGTGGTAAGAAGTGGACATTGCTAGCAAGGATATATCCACACACACATTCCTTGTTGAAAAGCAAACCAAGCAAATACAAATGTAGTAACAGCTAATGAGGAGCTCAAAAAGTCTCCGATCCCCAGTATATCAGCATATTTCATATTCTTGTTTTCTGTTCATATTTTTTTTTCCAGACCTGGGGTAGATTTGGAGCCAGGTTTTTGTGTGAGGCCACGAGCTCTAATGACTTCTACTTCTAACTGGCCCTTTTTATCCACCATTCCAATTTGGATGTCACCTGAGAGGGAGAAGAAAGAAGCTCACATTTTAGAGAAGCAGTACGGCCTGGGAGATGATAGGGTATAAGAGTGAGAAACAGAAAGACTAGTTTGCTACTAGTCTGCTGCATTAGTGTGCTTGTCACCTCTCCTGAGCCCTTTAATTCCTCCATCCTTAAACCAGGACTAAAAGATATATACTTAGGGAGCACAGTGCCCTCTCTTGGTGTATGGTTTATACCAGAGCTCAGTACTTCCGATCCATGGAGGCAGGCAAATTTACAGCAACGCTATGGTATAACCACCTCACCTTTGATTTTGCACTGGTGAATCATCTACAGACTTCCTACCTAGGATTGTCGCCCCAGTGTGCCAGTCACTGACATGCGCTGCCCTGACAGTGGTCCCGCACTCAGAGAGCCTAAAACTCAAACTCGTGTTCAGAAATCCCCTCGGCTGGAAGTTTCTGCCTCCAAGCTGAGATGCAAGAGCTGGCAGTGCGAAGGCTCCTTGTCTGATGTAGCAGGAAGGAGAACTGCTGGTAGAGGCTACCGTTGAAACCTTCTTCTGTAACTACAATTGCCTGACTTGGATCCTCTGCGTACGGCAGAGACACCAACCAGACGAGGCACGCAGTCTGGTGACTAGCATAGCTTCAGAGAATGATGCCCTGACCCCCAGGAGCTCAAAAGAGGTCTTTTTTCTGCAAAAGTCTCCAACAAGTACAGGGGTGACAATTTTCTTGTTTTTATCAATATTCCACACCCATTTTTGGTGTGAATAAAATGATGCAACATGTTAAAATAAGAAGCTGCTTTCGCTACTAAATAGTCAAGCTTGTTTCCCTGCCTAAGTTCTGACAAATGACATTTCCTGCAGAAAAAGGAAATTGCTTAGTCCGAGTCCAAGCACTGTTCTGATCTAGATCAATAAAATGCAAGGGAAGTCAACTATGGGCTGATGCTCAAAGCATTATATCTCTATGGTTTCATACATCATGGAATCAGCTGGGTAGAAATCTAACAGGCCACTTGGAATAAAAAATGCACAGTATGACACGGGCAGCTACGTGACGCCTGTGCAAATAAATGAACTATACATGTATCCATGAAACACGTGAGTATGTACATATTTGACATGTAAACGCTGATTGTCTAAAAAAACACACTCACAAATAGATAGTCCTGAACTATAGAGTTTGGGGTCCGGATTTAGAAAGACAGCATTTTGAAATTAACTGGGCATGAGATTTTCACATGCTTGTCTAACAGTATAATAAAGCCATGTTTATACTTTGGTACTTGAGGCATGACAGAGCAGCAGGGAAGATTTTTTTATCAATCAAACTTTGCTTGAATAAACAGAGCTCTGTGTTGCACTAAAAATAGTTCACAGGAAAATTCCAGCAAGCCTTTTTAAAAGCACATCTCCATATCGCATACCCAAAATAAAACATGCGATGGGGAACCAGAAGGGGGAGCGATAATACAAACATTTTCAAATCGTCACTAGTGAAAGGATACCGCATAGGTGGTCTTCTGAAAATTGTTAAAAACCATGACTGAGTGCTTTTTTGGGGGCCAAAACTGGAGCCTTTAATAAATAAAGCAGTTCTAAGAAGTGAAAATAAATGTATTACCCAAGTAACCTGCAGAAAAATATTTAGTCAGGAAACAAGATTAAAATAAGGAGACGGAAGAAATCTAGACCCTTATATTCATACCGATAGAGCCACTTAAATTTTTGTTGGGCAAATCATCTCAGAAATATCTTCTCTTTCAAAATAATAATTAAAAATATGAATTTAACAAGTTTGGGGCTTATTAATGCATTAGTAGCAGTCATTTGGACTTACACAGCAACCCTTGCCTTAGGGGGTACTCAAAGCATTCTCAGGAAAGTTTCTGTCTCCTTCTGCTCATGAGTTGGGAGGGGAACACTCTCTTCTGCGATTTTTCTTTCTGTTTCTCTCTCCTTTTTCAGAAGCGGCTCAGTAGCCCTTCCTGAAGCTGATTCTTCCAAGACAGCTGTACTGAAGCATTGGCCATTTTTAATTTCCAGCAGGAGAAGTATGGTTAAAGTGGTGGATCAAGGACTCCTCACTTAGCATCCTAAAGCATGTCTAAGAATTGCTCACATATAAGCAAAAAAACCCCAAACCTTTCCAAAGATACTTACACAGCACTGCACTGTTGCACACCTTATACACTCATACTTGATTCATAACCAGGATACAGCTAATGCTACTATAGGGAAATACAGACTGGTCTGGAACATAGAGAAGATCACAGGTAGCCCCAGGCAGCTGCTGTAGAAAAGGATTTTGTCTCTTTCATGGCAAACACTGGCTTTATCAGCAACTGATTATTGAGCATTGCAAATGTGGGCAGAAGTTTCACATTCGGGGGTTGGATGAACTAAGCTTGGACAAGTGCAGAGTTTGGCCAGAAACCCCCTGTCACATCCAATATAGTCTGTGGCAAGTAAATATAAACTCTGAACAGCTGAGATTTTGCACTGAGCTACAATTGGAGAAGCCACAATAATTTTGAGCGGGAAGTAAAGTGCAACCCCTATCTTCAAATTGCAAATGAGATTTGCAGACACCTCACATACGGAGCAAATACTGTTTCTCACCCCATTTTGAATGCTAGCGTGCTAGGAATACCGGTGACTGCATATAGGACCTTCATGTTTACAGTGAAGGAAGCCACTTTGTAAAAGTCTTTTTGGTGCTGTAGTCTGGCAGTGTGTGCATTAGTTAATTGGCTTATTAGTCATTCAACAGAGGAGAACATATTATTCTTACCCATGGCAGGGGTGGCTAGCGTTTGTCGGCCTACTAACTGTGCAGGTCCAAGTCCATCGAGGAAATCACTAAACTGACTGTCAGTGCCCAGCCGTACTCCAGGAAATATTAAGCTGAAGCAAAATAAAAGCTGGTTAAGCATAAAAACAGGATTAATTTCTATTGTCCTACAGTATTTACTTCAAAAGCACTACTGATACAAGGCAAGTGGCTCAGGATGTGCAACCACAAATTGTTCTGCAGCATCAGGAACGAGCTGTCTCCCATGGACCCCAAAGAACTGTAGTGAAATTATGCACATGGACCCAAAGTAGTCCATAAAACAGCTCTTGCTAAGGGCTTCTCCAGGAGCAGTGAAGAGCCTGACAGGTGAATAAACTATGAGTGACCTTGTATGAGAAAACATAAAAAGCCTCATGAAATTTAATAGCCTATCATTCTTCATTCTTGAATGCTTGATTTACCTTGTAATACTGTTTTATACCTATACATACATCCAAACCCCACCCGCATCAGTTAGAACAAACAGGGAAAACAGATGTATACACTAAATTAATCTGATTGCTGCAGCTGTTTAATGATGCAGTAAACTGGCAGGTAGTACTAGTGTTGATTAGAGCTAGACCTAGTGCCACTCCCTAGCCAAAATATTCTGGTAGCCACATCTGGATCTACAGTTGGTACCCACCCCTCTTTCAGGACACAAACTGAACTGTAATACATTGGCACAGAATATATGGAAACATTCCAGGTCAGGGTGGACGGGGCTCTGAGCAACCTGATCTAGTTGAAGATGTCCCTGCCCATGGCAGGGGGGTTGGACTAGATGACCTTTAGAGGTCCTTTGCAACCCAAACTATTCTATGATTCTATGATATGTGCTTTTCCAAGCTGCTTTCTTGTATTCCAGAATCTCCACTTTCTTTTTAATAGATAGACAGTCTCCAAACAATAACAAAAGAAACAAACACCAAAAAAAAAAAGGGAGAAAGAAAGAAAGATCCATGCTGGGGAGACTCGGCTTTGACTTCCTCATTGCAATTATGAGGAACAGAAGAACAGACTTTGAACGAAGTCTAGATAGCATCTTAGCCAGCAGGCCCTCCACCACTCTGTATCTGCTTCTCCCTCAAAGGAAATTCCCTATTAGACAGGAGAAAATAATAACAAAACTTCCTAATAAAAACATCTAGTGTGAAAAGCTTTGATTTCCACAGATCAGGCTTATGTGCTCCAGTCATTCAATTCACACTGAAAACTCTTTGCAAACCCCAGTTAGTTGGATAGAAAAAGCCCATTCCTCTCTTCAAGACTAACTGCTCTTACTATGCCTGCATAAACATATAGACTGCCTGTAACTAAAGCTGGCCAGAAGATATCAGCACAGTGCTTTTCATTAGAAAACCCAGATTTACCAAAAGGTAAGCTTTTCACATAAGTTTAGTTTTAAGAAATCTTTTTTTTTCAGGGGGTTTCTTTAGATGGAGGAGGAAAAGAACCTCAAAGTCTCCAGTTCAACCATCAGCCCACCAGTTACAGCATTCACCTAACCTCGAGATGCAGCTTCAAGCCCACCCTTCCTGACAAGACACACAATCTGCTTCTCTCCCCAGTGGCACTACCTGTTCACTCTTGCCCCTGCTATGAAAAGTTTCTTGCTCGTTTCTTTGGCCTGTTTCCCCAAAACATGTTACATTTTGCTATGGAATGACTAACAACATTGAAAATGTTCCCTTGAGAGCATTCTCACTTTTCAGACACCTCTAGCTATACACATAATAATGAAGGTTGTGAAGTACACATCCACCTTAATGTGTATTAATTCTAATTCATTAAACTCCATTACGGGTCAAGCAAAAGAACATAATGTGGTACTTGGGGTATCTACTGTAGGAATCTCCATTCTCAGCTGAGCTACACATCTGATTGGTCTTATGGAATGCAGGATGAGGCCTGATGCTGTCAATAAACTATGTGACTCTGGAAGTAAAGTCAGTATCATAATGTACACTCACACAAGGAAGGAGAAGTAGCCTCTGCAAACTTAACATAAGCGTTTCCTAATTGTCATCATTACCCGCCTACAGTAATGTCAAGAGTGAACTGCAGAGAAAATACTATTCAAGCAACCAAAGTCAAGCTCTTGCTGATTTTGATGGGAATCTCACAAGAGACAAGAAAAACCTAGCAAACAGCTTCGCTATTCTGAATGCAAGGTGCTATCAAAAACTGATTCATGCTCAAACTAGAAATAACATCTGAAGTTAAATGTGACATTTCTAATGTTCAAAAAAGGCCCAGAAGAAGGAGGGAGAGAGGGAGAGGATTTTAGGATCAGCTGGCACAGTGCATGTACCCCTGATTATGTGATGCAATTGTGCGGCTTCCCCTCCACCTTGCAGTTGTGTCCAACACATGTTCTACAAATAAGCCAGTGATGCACGTGGGGGAAGTGATTAAACAGTAGAAAATTGTTTTATTGGTCATCTTTCTTACAAGAGTCTCTGTATTTAACATTCTTCATTCACTGTGATCTAAACCCAGAGCTGCCATAAACTAACATTATTCTATCGAACTCAAGCAAGTTTGCAGAGCACCTGAGGATTTCATCTATAGCTAAATCACAGAATCACAGAAAAACAGAAGACTTCAGAGAAGTTTTCTAAGCCACAAAATACAGCACCACACTGAACAGCGCCCTCCGGTATCTCTTTTGCCTATGGCATTGTGTCCTGTTTAAGGAATGTTTCTTTTCCTTCATTGCAGTAAGATCTATTTAACTGTTTCACCTAAGTTTTGTTATCTGCCTTCTTTGGCCCATTCTCCTGGGCTTCCCTTTAGAGTCACTGTTAGATACTGGTGGTGCTCTCACTTCACTGGCCTCACTGTTTCTTTACTCTGAATTGGAATAGGGATGTGGAGATCAGGGACAGTGTTTAAGGCTAAGGTCAAGTGCAAAGTGGGTGTGGAGTCAGGAAATGAAGTTGAGGTATACTGAGGATCAGGAATCAGCCAGAAGAGCTGGTAACTCTATCAAACCAAAAGTCTGGGACAGAAACATGGTGAAAAGTTAGGGAGTTGGTGCCAAAAGTATGGATCAGAAAAGCAGGACAAACATGGTCAGATGTGAAGAAATCTATTGTATGAGACCGCAGAGAGAGGTAAGGAGACTTGTCAGAGGCAGAACTGGTGCTGGAGCAGCAAGAGATGGGGAGCAGGCACAGGAGCTAAGGAGGCAGAAACAAGACATAAGATGCAGATAGTGTGACTACCAGCTTATGGTAGCTCACTTTAGGTAAAGTGGAAGATGGACCTAGTTCTAAAGGATAATTTTCAAACTAAGTTCCACAATGCACAGCCAGCCTGCAATATGTCCCGATAAGAAGCAAGGACTCCGTTTACCTCCCAGGATTGTTCTCTTCACTGCCTTACTCAGAGACTGATTCTCAAGTCAACAATTTAAGGCTCTACCTTGCAGTTCTGTCCTCCAGATGCCTGCTGTGACCTCCAGATCCAGACCTTGACTGCCCCAGCCTTGCCAAATCTGTTTACACACTCTGAGGGTGGAGCAGAGGATTAGGCTGTTCCCCTGAAAAGGTCCTCACCATCAGTGCTGGGCTCCCACCTCTCCCATACTGCTAACCAGGGAAACAGGCTGCCCAAGCTCCTCCTTAGCAGGGTCCGGTTTATGGGGCCCTTTGTCACCATGGTGAGTGACTGGTGTCTTACAGACTGACACTCCAGCCTAGAGAGAGGAAGGAGGATGGCAGGATGGAGTGTTGAAAGGGTACAGGTAATGCTCTATCATAGAATCATAGTGGGAAAAGTACTGGGATATTTTACTCTTGTCCCTCATTCTTCATCTGATGCTTATCTACTTCGGTTTTTGAGTTATTCATGATGGAGCCTGTTTTTCTTACATGGCTCTTGCAATTCTTAGCATTATCATAGAATCATAGAATGGTTTGGGTTGGAAGGGACCTTAAAGATCATCTAGTTCCATCACCCCTGCCATGGGCAGGGACACCTTCCACTAGACCAGGTTGCTCAAAGCCCTGTCCAACCTGACCCTGAACACTTCCAGGGATGGGGCATCCACAGCTTCTCTGGGCAACCTGTTCCAGTGTTTCACCACCCTCATTGTTAAAAAATGAGGGTGGTGAGATCATCTGATGATAGAGAAACTGCACCTTTACACAGCTCCTTGCCACAACCATGGCTGCCCTTGGCTCTTTGTGCCTTATACAATGTGCAGTAGCAATTGTGGTAACATGGTAAGCACATAAAAAGATGATGCCAAAGAAGTCCTAATCTCTCATTTTTTCCAGGTCTATAGGGTGGATTTGCCTACCCCCGGTTTCCCCTTTTGTGGGGAGGCATCTTCTAAGAATTCCCTAGTGACCACTGTGTGTTGGCACACACGGTAGAGTCCTACTGAGAGCTGTGAGGAGGCTGGAGTATTCATGCACACTTCTGTGTCAGATCTGCCTTTGTTCTCCTTTCCTACATACTGAGTCATTCAGCAGTGAATGAAAACAGCTGCCCCATTCCCCACAGTGGTCTGCCTGATTTCAGCTGATGGGGCAGCTGGACTCTGGGTTTACAGTTCTCAATAAGAGACTTGGACCAACTCCAAACTAAACTTTCTTTGTATATAGTATTACTGAACAGAGTTTCATATCACAGGGATTTACATACAACATCTGAAGTTTAACTCTGAGTTAATCCAAACATAACTCAAAGAAAAAGTACCCCTATGTTTTGTTTTGAATAATGCGGTCTGAATTCAGCTGTCTTTTGATGAACAAAATGCCTCACTGGATGACAGGGAAAATTTGACTCCCTAAGAAGTCCTCTCTCAATTTCAATTTTCAAGAAATTTGTGTTATGTGCCTAAAATAGTTCAGTTTTGCAAACGTTTCAAGAGGAAGAATCTGTACGCAGAGCTATCCCCTTCAGCCAGAGCTGGGACCCCTGTTCACATCCCAAGTTTTCTTACAAAGACAAGAAACTTCTACATTACTGATGTTTTTAATGACACTTACTTGCCCTCGGAGCTATAACTATTTATGCTGCCGTCAGTGGATTCCCGACTTGGCTGTCGAACCATACGACTTCTCATCTCTGCTGCCATTCCCGTCTCTGTGCTTCTCTGTATCGTGCTCTTTAGCTTCTTGTTGCCAGCCTCTGAAAGCAGAGAAAAAGAAGTGATAGTTAGAATAACAACTCAGAGCAAAGCCTTTCCTTGCAGTTTTCCCCCAACAAGTGATCCGACTTGACTATTACTATTTAATAATATGAAAAGACTATTCCGATCGAAGAAGGAATCTATCTTCTTCAGCTGCAAGCTGGTGAAGACTTCTCTTTAAAAGGGCTGCAGCCTAGGGCAAACTTTTAGATATTAGGTGTCTTATTAATAACCATTATACAGTCAGAATGTAGACAGGATGACTGTGATAGTGTCTGCTAACCATACACTCAGTAAGGTGTCTCTAGCCACCTTGTTAGTTAGGTTGGGTGACTACAAAAGGAGTTGCAACTCTCACAGGAGAAAAGAGGGAAAAACCCCTTCATGTATTCAACAGAAAAATGTTAAGTACTAAAATACTTCGTATCAAAAATATAATAATGTGTTTTGACCCAGCAAAATCTTACTTTTCACCACAGAAATTCCTCAAATTAAACAGTGAGCTTTACATAACTTCTCATCTCAGCACTTCCTAAGTAGAATTAACTCTTTGGAGACTCCATGTGGAAGATGATGGACTTCACCTTGCAACTGAAGTCTAGCCTTGCAACTGAACACTAGAGAGTAATGTAAATCTTGTGAAATTGTTTAAAGACTTGATCCGTTTGGAAAAGCTTCCATCACACATTCTTTAAAATGCAATTTGAGTTCCACCTGGGAAGTTTCGTGTTACTCTTCCAGTCCTTTACAGGGGTGGTTATGGGCTCAAGGTGCAACAGCTGATCTACAATGAATTCTGCTGTCACATGGCAGAAATTATGCTTTTAAATGATGATACTCGTTCTCAAAGACCTTTAACTGAAATACTTCCACCAAAGTCTCTATGTGATGTAATAGTGTGTGTTGACTTCAAACTCAGTGTTCTGTTTGTTTTCATTTAGTTCAGCCTATCATTCAATGGGTAACATTACTTTCTCTCAGGAAGTAATAGATTTGATAAAGTTTCATGTAAGTGCATGCAAAAACATTCTCCTGCATTTCCCCCTTCATTTCAGAGTTCCTTCATTGCTTTCTGCAAAGTCTCTGCTTCCTTTTCACAGTCTGCTCAGGGGAGCATCTGAAAAAATAAATGTTTCTTCCATCTCCACCTGCTGTGGAGACTGAGTTGCTCTGAAAATGTTTTCACCTTCCTGTTTCACGTGGACATGGTTGATGTTTGAAGCTGACAGATCTTGACCTCTCTTCACATAAAAGCTATGGATTTGGTATCCTCCGCACAGCCTGCCCATTGCTCAGGGTGACTAAACATGCTGGTGAGAACGGCTGGCCCTCGCTCTTTGGAGGGCAGGGAGAAATCACGCAGGAGAGAGCAGCTCCCCCTCTCCCGGGGTTATCACAGTAACCTCTCTGGAGCTAGCAGACAGACGGAAAACATGGCCAAAGCAAAAAAGTAGTAATTTGTATATTGGGCTAAGAAGAGGCAGTGCTACAGCAAAAGGGGCTGTGGTTTTCCTCTTGAGCCTTCTGGACCAGGGGCTGTTTATCCGTGGCCACCCAGAAGCACAGAAACAAATGCCTCTGAGTGGAAGAAATCAGCTACTTCCACAGATCCTTTACTCTCTTCTGAGGCCAACAGCTCTGAGGTTTTGTTGAGCCACTGCAACTCATCCAAATACCTGGTCCTTGGTCGGCTGAAAACACATTATTCAGTGCTGCCAAACATGAGGTAGACTAGACTAGGCAAGGTACACCAGGCAGACCAGGCTCCACTCTTAGACAGTGCAGGTGGCTGTGGAAGGTATTTGCTGGAACTTCAGTGACTCCATATGTAGAAAATCAAATGCTACGTTTTGGACCTGAGCTTTATCTTTAAAAACAGATGGTACATCCAGCATATCAATGCTGAAAGGTAAGTTGAGCATCAAAAATGAATCAAAAGGCAGCCCAGGAAGTATAACCCACATGCAGAGCCCTACGCCAAAGCAGGATTCTCACATTTTCAGTAGCTACGCATTTGCCACCCATGTTGTTTTGTGCCTCTCTCCCTTGCTGGGACTTGTCTGAAAGTGCCTGTGCTTCCATCTGCTCCTACAAAGCGGGTGAGATTATGGGGTTTACCCCCTGCCTTCTTTTCTGGAGCCAGCCAGACCAGGCAGCACGACCGGCAGGATATAATACGGCGGAGCCTGAAATGGGGGCAGCTGAATAGGGTTGCCTGTAAGTACTCACGGCTCAGGAAATGGGAGTGATGAGACACTAAAGGTAGCTACAAGATCATCATGACCTTGGCACAAATTGGGAAAGAGATATTGCTCTGGACCACCTGGACAACACCGTGGGTGCTGAAACTTAGGGATTAGAGCCAGGCTGTTGGAAAAGCATAATGAAGAACATATTCATAGAAATAATCACTGTAAAAAAATTCCATTGACTAAATCACAGAAATTAATATTTCAGCTTTGAGCCACAGTAGAGATTGAGAATAGCAAGTGGGTTTTTTTGAAAGAGTAATTTTATATTGTCATGGATAACATCCATGTTGCTGCTTGAACATACTTCTTTGCTCTACAGATTTTAAATGCACAGACCATGAAGTAGGAATCCTCATGCATGGCTATAAGCAAGTCCACAACCGTGTCTCACTGTGCTGCAAATATCAGATTGCCTTTTTCCGAATGCTTTTCAAGTCACTGCTCTCTGTCTTACTGTGCTGGATTCCACCTCTTCTTTTTCCTCGTCAACATTTTTTTTCAGGTTGAAGATTAAAATAAATGCTTTTGCCTTCTCTTGTAACTGCTACTAATATCCACAATGTTTCCTGGGAAAACTAGAGTCCTCTTGCATATTTCATTTTATAACCTCAGTCTTAATATTCTGCAGTACAACCAGAAATATAACATAAAAGTAACCTAAATTAAATACATCAAGAGTTTTATGGCATAAAGTGAATTGCTTTTGCCCATGACCAAGAACCGAAATGCACATTGCACAGGTTTTGGAAGTTTTAACCTTGGTGAGTTATGCATATCATATTTTTTTCATCCACTTATAGCACAAAAAGTAGTGAGAACATTTTATCTTGTTGGTGTACTCCTGTAAACTTCTCAGAAAACCCCCGTTCTGCAAGGGAGGGAGGTGGTTAGCATACAGCTGAGTTGGGAACTGCTGTTATTTCTAAAGGTGCCCCGGTAATGTGAAGTCACTCTAGGGTACAACTTCCAGTCCTGCCTTGACTGCACAATGAAATACGGGATCCAAACACCTACCAGTGTTTCTCCTTCTCTTGATAACGCTTTTTTAAAACTTTCATTTTCATCTCGTATTGCTTTTGATCTAGCAGTTCTGCATGTATCTTTGGAACCCTGTCTTTATACGAACAGTACAAGTTCATAAAATATTTAAGTTCAATACCTATGCTATGATATATTGAGAAGATTTTCTACTCTTGTCTGGGTATCTATTGGAGAATGCTTGGTCCTGCTCCTGACTTTTATTAGTTTGATATGTACAATTAAATTTTATAATATGTTGCAGTTATTTGACTGCACTGTGTAAATTACACCATCTTCATCATGCAGACTGAAGATAAACTGCCTCTATACTGAATACCATTTAGGGGCAAAATTTACTCCAAAATAGTCTGTATGCTTCTGTCTGCTGTGTCAATTGTGTAAGGCTTTCTGCGTGCAGAAATGCAGATTGATGTGCATAAATTGCATCTAAACACATAGTTGAACAGGTACAGCTAGAGCAAAACGATTACAGAGCAATTGTGATGAACATTTTTGTGGATTTAATAACTGATGCAAAAGGATCTTAAAGCAGCCGTCTGCAGCTACAAAAGATACACAGCTTGTAAGCATTTTGCAATTCATCAACAGCCTTGTAGCACCCCTGCTACAACACACTGATGAGTGTGTGCAATGTGCTATTTCAGTCTACCTATTATAAATGTAGCCTAGTGATTCCTTTTTAGTCTGACAAGAAACTGGTCCCTGATTTTGGTTTTCTCAGACAAAAGTAAGTTAATGGAGATCCTCATCTAAGTAATGATGAAGAGCAAAAAGCAAGCTTGTTAGTGTATGTACTATCATACATTTGCACAAAATATCAATGCAATTGATGTGTCCCCAATTTCTGTACTTCCTAATCACTTTCAAGTATAGCAGCCAGGAGCAAAATGTTATTGACAAGAGAATTATATTAGCGAGAAAGGGTCAGTGATGTTATCTATAGAATTAAGATGGCCTACTAGAGATACCTCAAGGCTAGCTTTACGTTTCTAAAGGCATCCAATTCAGAGAGGACAATGCCAGGACAAACGGCCCAAAATTACTTGTATCCATGACTGCCCTTAGCAAAGTCATGACTGCACATGGCATCACCATTGGCCTGGCTTTTCCTCTGGGCTCCATGTGGTGCCTGGAGGCAATTACTACATTTTGCTCTTGTTTCAGTGTAGTAAGTCTGAAATAACGGACGGGGCTGCACCATGGCCTGCTGGAGTAAAGCTTTTATCGTGTGATGCCAAGGTATATATTACATGCCACGGGACAAGGCTAGGGGACATAGAAGAATATGCAAGGACACAAGCTTGGCAACTTAGTCAACAGGACAGTGTTAGAGACCTCTGTAGGGCAGAAGACAACAATCCTGACACGGTCTTCTACGTACTCCCTATCAGGAGAGGTGCCTTGAGCGAGTATTGCCCAGAAACATACCTGAGGGCAACTAGTTGGTTAGCACCAAAAAATAGAAGCAAATTTACACACATGCAGCATCTGGGTATGTGGCATGGAAAATTTGTGACTGGTTCAAAAGAACGCTTCAGAGAACAAAGCACACACCACTGCTAAATCCACTAATGAAAGGGAAAATAAGAAGGGTACTAATACTCAATGTCATCGCACGACTCAAGGGCAAATTATTCACGGTATCAAGCATGCTCATACATCCAAAGAAAGCCTAAAAGGACTACAGCTCCAAGCTAGCTCTGACT